TCCTGGATCAGCTGGGTGGGTCTTACCTCTAGCCTCTCTACAGGGAGTTCAGCTGCAGGGTTCCACAACGGGCCTGTCTGATGGAGGAAGTTCCACACACACGCTTGGCGTGGGTGCTGGCTGGAGTGAGGATCCAGAGGGCTGTGGGCTGCCCCATTCAAACGCTAGGGCTGCACTGGCTGGAGTGAGGATCTGGAGGACCCCAGGCGGTCCCATTTCACATGCGGGGCCTGTGCACTAGCTGGAATGAGGATCCGGAGGGCCCTGGCTGGTCCCACTCATATGTTTGGCCTGCGCATTTGAACCTGATTTCTAAAGGTGAAAGTCTGGGTAAAAAACAATATCAAACAGAAATAAAGGGGCCGGGGAGATGGCTCAGTGGAATAAGCGCTTCCCTGGTAAGTGCAGGGGCCTGAGTTCAATTCCCGGTTCTGAAAAAAAAAAAAAAAAAAAAAAAACAGAAAGAAGGAGGTACAGCAGCTGATAATAAAGGAATAAATAATGATGTGGGTTATCCAAGGGAAATCATGAATAGCCATGATTATGGCTATCCAGGAGGGAAAACAGTATTACATTGGTGCCTTGAAAGAGGCTCACAGCAAGAGAATGAAACTGTTTCTTAGCACAGTCACCCAAAAGGTGAAGCCACATGTTTTCTGAGACCTTTCATAATTTTGGAAACTGGCAGTCAAGTGGAAGCCTAAAAACCTGTGTGGTATCATTCTGGGATACATTCTCATTGAGCAAAATGATGAACATGGCCAACTGAAAACAACAAAGCTGAACTATAGTGACATGTCAGTATCTTTGGACTCTTATTTATAGGTTAGAATCTACTATCAAGCATATTATTTGGGAAGGAATGTGAGGGAATTGCTGTCTACTAGACAATCAGAGCAGATGATGTATACCAGTAGACTGATTTACTTAGTAACTACAAACCGAGATGACCAGATGCACCAAAGATTTCTGGTTATAATGGGCAAAATAAAACTGTAGCAAACCCAATATGCCACAGTATGCTGTGGACAAATACATCTGGTAAAATTTTATACATAAAAAACAATTAAACAGAACAGAAATAGTGTTTCTGATTGAGTAAAATAGTGGACATCCCATAACAGACTCCAATTCCCCTAAGAGGAAATAACCATATACCTCTTTTATAGTAAAAACTTGTGAAAGGATTTATAGTTAATAAATGACTTGCAAATTAAAAATTTCTATATGACTTGAGTATCTATCTTTTTCTTATTTTCAAATATCTAACACAATTTTATATTTTCATTTTTCCTAATCCATGAAAAACTGAATACACAAAATAATCATAATAGCTTATATAACTTGAGCGTATTTTACGTACCAACATTTTCAAAGGGTCTTACATGTATCAGTTTGGTCATTACGACAAACCTACAAGAAATGCCATTAAACTTTCTGTTTTACAGAAAAGGAAACAGAAAATTTAAGTAAATTCACAAGTACACACAGACACTGAAAGCCCCACATGGCCTACAAGATGCTTGGATCAAAAAAAGCAACATATACTGCCTTTTATCATCCAAGTAGATTTGTGAAATAAAACAAAATCATGCTAGTAAATCTCAGATGAGACTTGGTTACTGTTATGGTTTGATCTAAAATGTTCCTCAAAAGCCTCAGGTGTTTGGAAGGTGGCTGGATTATGAGGACACTATATCTGACTTTAGTTTTAGGAGGTGGGTTCCGGTAGGAGGCAGTAACTGAGAATGTGACCTGGAAAGTTTCCCTTCTCTTTCTGCTTCCTGGCTGCCAACATGTAAGCATCTTTCCTCCCTATACCATGACATTTCTGCCTTGAATATAGTCTATGGCCACAAATTACAATCACGAGTCAAAATAAACTTCTTTTCCTTTAAGCTACAGGTGTCCAGTATTTTGTCCCAACAATGAGGAAAGTGACTAAGACATATTTTGGTACCAAAAGTGGGGCCACAGCATACTGTGGTTCAGAAGCTTCTGGAATCATTTGTGGGAAGAGTTTGGAAAGATTTGAAAGGGCTGATGAGATAGTTCAGAGAACTAAGTGCCTGCTTAGGCAAGTGCAAGGACCCGGGTTCGAAATCCAGCAACACGG